CCTGGCTTGGGCCCTAATAATAAGAAACGGAGCAATTCCAATAGGGTCCTCACACCATCGGTGCTCGGGCCCTAATTACACAACACATGAAATGTCACATTTTACAACCATTTAAACATTGTCTATGTTACATTCATGTTTGTACCATAAATTTGTTTCTATCTACTAAATCTGTTGTAGGTGGGAGAAATAGTTTTAAAATTTGTGTCAAAATGTAATCAGTAGCATCAGCGGATCTGCTGATGAATAAGATTTTATTTTAGAATTTTGGCTCCAATGACAGGAAGTCATGTCACTTGCTTAGCAGTTTCTTACATGTGTGCTTGTTTTACTAGTATATATATATATATATATATATATATATATATATTAATGAATTGAATACAAATCTTCTATGATGAGCTTCTTTGAATTGAAATTCATTTTGATATTTTTGGGGTGACACAAAGTAAAAAATATCATGGTGATACAACTGTCCTAATATAATAGTGAAGAAAAAAGCCTTAATAGTTGAAAGTATTTTTAAGCAATGCACACAACTATTTATTATTATTTATACTTTATTATTATTATTATTTATTACTATTTATTAAACATTGTCTGATGAAGCGAAGTCACTTGGTGCAACTAAAATGCAGAATAAAAAACATAAAACAAGAAATTATATCATAGAGAGGACCACTGCAGACCCTCATGACTGTGTATCAAGGACAATAAGACTAAAATATCAGATAATTTGACCTTTATATTACAAGACAATGTTAGTTCATGTTTAAAAATGTAATGTGGTGTGACTCCCATAAAAATGTATACATTAATGATACTTATAAATGAATAATTGGAATTTTTCTTAAGAAAATCTTATACTACTGTAAGATATTTAATATTATAAGATATTCTAAATATTGGTAAAAGATCTTGTACCTTTTATATATACCTTTTATATATATTTGATTTTTTAAAAATAAATAAAGAAATATGTTATTACTTTATATTTGATGGATGCAGCACATGACATTTTTTGAGTCAATAAATGTAAACTTTAAAAAAAATTCTTATAAGAAAAAAAGCTTTTAAAGCCATATGAAGCCAACATAAATACATTTACAGGAAATTACATGTTTTAAACTACCTTTTATAAATGATTTTTGCACATTCTGAATCTGATTTGTCATTAACAGTCTGTTATAGTAATATTGTAATAATAACTATTTCCTTTTCATTATCTCTTCAGATCAATTTCTACTGTGGTATCTTCACGTTGGCCTGCCTCAGTGTTGACTACTATCTGTCCATCGTCCGTGAAGTACAGCTGTTTTCTCGTAAAAAGCCTGTGGTGGTTTACTGTTGCTGCTTGATCATCTGTGTCCTCTGCATGCTCCTGTCCATCCCTGATTTGATCTTCCTCAGTGCTATTACAGATCAGGGTAAACAGGAATGTATTCACCATTATCCGCCTGATTCCTGGCGTCTTGCCTCTCGTCTTCCACATCTTTTTGTTTTACTGGTACTTGTGCTGCTGTTCTGCTTTTCCATCATCCTGCTGAAGTTACGGCACAGCTCAAAGTGCCAGCAGAAGAAGAAGGGCCAAAGCACAGCTATCATTGCAGCCCTCGTGCTGGTTTTCTTTATCTGCTGGACACCCTACAGCATTACCTTCATTGTGAACACTTTTCAGTCAATGGATAGCGTCTCTTCAGCAGTGGAAGAAGACTGTGAAGGGAGGCAGTGGACAGCTAGCAAAATAACAGCAGTTTTTGGGCTTCTCCATTGCGTTGTTAATCCTGTTATTTACTTCTGTCTCTCCAAAGAGTTCCGGCGTCGCGTACTGACTGTGATAAAGTTCAGTGCTTGTAAAATGGAGAGTAATGATGTTTCGCTTTGGGACTCTAGTGGAGTAAATGGTAATGCTTCTGTCCAGGAGGAACAAGGTTCACTTCAACCTATGAATGACATTAAACAAACAATAAAAACCCAAGATCATGATATATGAAAGCATGGATCATAAAACATTCACTGATGGACGTTCTGTATCTCCTAATTCCTCAAATGTATGGTATGCATTCTTCATTTAACGTGAGCATTTAATAGATATCACTAAGTATGAAATAACCCAATGATGGATGATGTCCTTTTAAAGGTTTCTGTACATGTATTCTGGAGAATTCTCTCATTATGGATGATAAAGGATGAAATGAAAAAGATGGACATTAAATGAAAGAAGGACATGAAATGCTGGCCAACTCATTTGCACTTTAATTCTGTTTGTTTTCATCAGTAAAATGATCATACTGGGAATTATTTAATTTTATTTGGTCAAATATTATATTTATTTATTTTTGTTGTGCTGTGTGAATATTTTTGGAATCATGTTCTAGAACAATGTTCTTAGTAATGGACTGAAATTATCAGCCAATATTTGGCCATTAGCCGGTTCTGTGCCTACTTGCTTGATCAACAGATGTCTTCATTCCCACTCAATTACAAAATCATTGTCAATGGATAATAAACATTTTCTTCTTCTTTTTTTTTTTTTTGGTCAAATTTGAATAACTTGAATGAAATCATTTCATTTCAGCATTCAAAACTTTTGTACATACATGTATGCGTATATAATTACAGTATGTGTATATTTAATTGTGCCATTTAAATTTTACAAAAAATGAAATATATGTAATTATGTGAAAATTATTGTAATTTTCATGTCACTTGCTTAGCAGTTTCTTACATGTTTTTTTTTTTTTTTAGCTGTCTTCAAGTCAGTGGTCTCTGGAAGGGTGTGTCCTGTTACTTACATAAGTGTTAAGTGTATAAAGAACACAGTGCTATTTTAATGTTTCACACAAATTCTTCTCTTCACTTTGAACTAGTTTCCTTAGTAGTTTATGTTCTACTAATTTAGTAAAGCTCAGAATATTAATGGTTATGAAAGAAAATATATTGAAAATGAATGTATTAATTCCTCATTAAATAATGATGAGAGAATAATGATTTGACATTTGTGTAGTTTTCTGAGATGGGGTCATAAAGGATTCTTTTCCCATGTTGCATAACCAAGTGTTTCTCTGAACCCTTTTGGAGGAAATATTTTCTTCCTGTGAGATATTCATAGCTATTTCTTGTACAGGGTGAATTAGTAATTGGGAAAGGCCGTTGTTGGGATTTTCAGACATACATTTTTTGGTATTGTCATTAGTGGAATATCCCCATGGGCAGAAAAGACAACGTGGTGTACCGAGAGAGAAAACGGTACATTGTATATGCTCTAGTCTTTGTACTGTACTGCAATGTAGTGTCCTTTCGAAATACTTCCAGGATGTCATCATCCTGAACAACAGAAGGGCCTGTGTGTAGTAGTGTAGTAGTGAGAGAAACTGACCGTTAGGTAGTTTTTTACATATCTGTAAACATTTTAATACTCGTGATCCATTTTCGATGACAGTCCATTTTGAATAGATTGGTTTCTTAGAAAGTTCTTTGTATTGTAATATGTTCTGAAGCCATGCACACAAAAATAACCACATGTGACACGCCTCCGTTCCTCTTCTGAAACAGAGCATGTGGTGAGCATTAATGTGAAAAGGACAGCATGATTGCATTGTCATGCGACAATAAGATCATCAATATTCCATCAGATATTTCCCGTGAGTCATCATTACAGTAAGGAAAATAAACAAAATGAGAGTAGATGTAGTTGGATTTTCAGAATTTCAGCTATATATTCACACTAGTTTCTGTATGAGGAAATTGCATTTTTGCTAAGTGTTCATTTCCTTTCCTGTTGTGTGTTTGTGTTACTGCGTATGACAGCTTTAGTTGCGATAGTTAAGTAGATCTTTATTTCAATTCTTTTAGTCAGTGCTCTTTACCCATGATTTGCATCCAGTGTTGTGAAATGTGTTTTTGTAGTTCTTCGTCTTCTTTGGCTGGTCCAGTAGGCTATCAAAAAAGTAGTGTGTGTGTGCTGTAGTACCCCCGGTAGATGATGGTTGAGAGCACTAAAATAACTTGTTTAATTCTTACAGTATGTGTATACACAAACTTGTTTTGAAATGTCTTAGACTGGTTTGTCAACGTTTGAGAACTGGGTCACGTATGGGAGGAGCCTAATCATTCAGTCCTGTCAATCATCATTACCAGCGTATATAAGCAGCAATCATTTCATTGTCCCATTGTCGAGCTGAGTCTCGGGTTTGAGACTCCTTCAAGGACAGCAAACCATTACCAGTTTACCATTATCTATCAAGACTGAATGGGCAGGCGAACTCATGAAATGTGCTAAATATACATTACTATTACTATTACTACTTTATAACTCAAAAGATAATTAACACTTATGACTGTATGTTCACATTCATTTGTCACCTAACAAACACAATTAAATATCCATGTTGTGAAGGCTCTATACGATGTGCTATTAAGTCTGTGAAAAATTGTCTCTGTGACCTTGTGGCTTTTTTTTTTTTTTTCCTGCTCCGAGATGCATTTTTAGCTGTTAGATATTTTGTGTGTGCCTTTTTAAATTATGTCCAGTCAGTTGAATTCTCCACAGGTAGACTCCAATCAAAGTGTAGAAACATCTAAAAGATTATCCATAGAAATGGGACTGAACTAAATTTCAAGTGTTGTATCAAACACATCTGAATGTCAGAAATGTCAGATTTCTCTTTTTGTTTTATCAGTTGTATCTCTTTAAAGTTATCACAAATCTGCAAAGTTATCACAAATCCCTTTTGCCTTGTCATTGGGTATAAAGTATGGATTTATATGAAAAAAAATACTTTAAAGCATTTAAACAAAATGTTAATGCACTGTGACCGTGTTTACTATAGTTGCCGTAGCAGTGGCATCTTGTGGTTGTTTTGGGAATATTTTTTACGTGTAGTGGAGTATGCTTCACATTTTTTAGGAGTAGGCCTATGTGTGCCTGGCTGTAATAGGGAACCCCACACATGACATGCTGAAAAAATAGATATAGTAGCCTCTATTTTTTTTTTATTCGTTCCCTCATTTTATTCATTTGTTCCCTTAATTTAATTCGTGGCTTCTTTTTATTAATTGGTTCTCTCGTTTAAGGTAAATCGTGGGGACGTTGTAGCCTACTAATTTGTTTATTCATTTTAATTTAGTTAAATCGTGGTCACGAAACGAGGTAATTAATTGAATCGCTACTACTGATTCTGAATCACCATGCACAGACATTTTGGGAGGCAGGTGAGGGAAAAGGCACCCCTCTCAAAATTATTTATATAAAAAAAGATTCATAATGTTGAACATCTTTTAAATTACACCAATTAACACTATACAGGGGTATCCATCCCTCCAGGACCAGGATTGGACATTGCTACACTATTGTGCTGTTATACCAATTAAATGAAATCAGTAGGCCTACCTATTATTAAAATCTATTTAATACACAGTTACAGTTGAATAAATAATGTTAAATATAACATTTTGAATTTAGAAATATAAAATAGTGGGAAAAATTAAACAGTATTATACACGAAATTAAAACTGCCAGTAGTTGGCGACAAGTGCTAATAAGTAAATCATAGAATAATTCATTTAACTGATTCGTTCAAACCGACTGATTTGTTCAGAGTCGGATGAATCTGTGATATTCATGTGTAAATTTATAAAGTAATGCGTTACTTTACTAGTTACTTCAGAAAAGTAATATTATTACGTAACGCACGTTACTTGTAACGCGTTACCCCCAACACTGGTGATCACCACAATAAGAGTGGATCTGCCATCCACATATGCACTACCTAGGCATATATCCGACAAAATGTCATCTGAACAAGTAAGTAACATATCTTCCGCTTTTGTTCGGACCAAATAAAAATGTAAATGTTTTAAAATAAATCATGCTACTGCCGTTTAATTCTAAAGGTTGATTTAAAGGGGTCATCGGATGCGACATGCACTTTTACAAGCTGTTTGAACTGAAATGTGTGTTGGCAGTGTGTGTACACAACCACCCTATTAATGATAAAAATCCACCCAGTGTTTTTTTTAATCTACT